TTTTATCTTCACCCAAGGATATATGTATTGATTTTAAAGAGAGTGAGGAGAGACAACATCTGTTTGATCAAGGTGAGAGAAACATCAATCAGTTGCCTCCCGTACGCACCCTGACTACGGATGGAACTGGCAACCTAGGTATAAACCCTGATCAGGTATCAAACCCGCAACCTTTTTTAGTGTACGGGATGATGCTCCAACCAACTTAGCCACCCAGCCAGGACCAGAGAGGCCCTTATTAAAGTAATGAATCTTCATAAGATGCCACCAAACCCTACTCAACTAACTATTAACTACAGCATATGGACCTGTTCTTAATCAACAATATAAAATATATCTTCTCTCCAGTTACTTAACAAAGAGTAGAAACTTTAAATTCACCAAAATAAAGTTTATAAAAAGTATGGCTGCTAGCTCTGGCCAGGTGGCTCTGTTGGTTGGAGCATCATCTCATACACCAAAAAGTTGTGAGTTCGATCCCTTCTCAGGGCACATACCAGGTTGGGGTTTCGATTGATTCCCAGTTGGGGTGCATACAGGAGGCAATCAATCGATGATTCTCTCTCACATTGATGCTTTTCTCTTTCCCTTCCTCTCTCTCTAAAATCAATAGAAACATATCCTCAGGTAAGAATTAAAAAAAAAAAAATGTAGCTGCTAGAAATAATCTTCATGGAAAACTACCTGAATGTATAATGCCTTGTGCATTCTATCACTACACCTAGATTACACCAGAATATCACAGAGGAGCCCCTGAAAGAAAAGCTTTAATAAATTGTAATAAGGCATGTGATAGCCTACATCGAAGGTCTTTAAAATACAGCCTTATGTAACAAGAGGAAAGTTAGGAGGTACTTACTTCCCAGACTCCTTTCCAGCAAAATTGCCTTGACTGACTATATCCCTCTCCAACTGCTCTCTACATAAAGCTTTTTTCCTCTAAGTTCCGGTATCTACTTTCTCCCCACCCCTGTTTTCATTAGACCCAGAATCTTTCACTATTCTTTGTGATTTTCTATAACCTTCTCACATATTATACCTGGAACCCTAGTCTTTGAAAATAGTTCCTTCACTAAATTTCCCTCAAAATAACTAATTTGAACATACTAACTGGTTCCTCCCAAGATCTTCACTATATTCTGGCTTTATATCTTATATTTCCTAACAATTACTTTTAAAAAACTTCTTTTCCCTTCTTCACCAATTTCCTTACCAAAAAAATTTAAATACAAGCTCAGTTTTTTCCATTGCAATTAGAATTTTGCATAGAATATAAATACGAATAACCTCATTCTGAACAAAAAGATATACATAAATATAATATATAAAATAAATATACATAAAAATAAATATAAAGGATTAGAGGGTCTAGCCTTAAGTATTCAAAGAAAAGAAAAAGTCAAGTCCACCAGCTGGCAAAGTGTGGGTTGAAGTCATGAGGAAAGGGAGCACTACTGGTAAAAGTATGGAGGTAAGAGAGTGATTACAATGATGATGATGAGTAAAAACTAACATTTACTGAAGAAAGTACTATGCAACATGCTTTACCTGTATTAACCTATTTATTGACTCCTAACCCAATGAGGTGCTAATAGTAACTTCACCACCATCCACTTTTTTTAAACAGATGAGAAAACTAAGGTACAATTTCTTACCAAAATCATACAATTAGTAAGTGACAAAGCCTAGGACCTAGGCAGTCTGGCTCCAAGCCTTCATTTTTAACCACTAAGTTACAGTGTTTCTCAAGGATGACAAGGGTATAATGCAAATAATTCAACATGACTAAAGCATATGATGCAATGATGGGAAATCAACAAAGATAAAGGTTAAAAAGGCAAGTGCCAGATCAAAAAGGGCTTTAGAATAAGAAATTTTGCCTTACAAGCCAGTTGTTGGATTTTAGATCAAGGAACCCCCTAAGAATCTTGACCTCCTCAGAAAAAAAATGTACATAAATAAAAATTTACCAGTTTAGATAGTTCAGAGCCCTTAGTGATCCATGGAACCTTGGATGAGAAATATTGTTACGGGGCCAAGAGAAGTGATGACAAGATATAGGGAGAAAGGTACAAAGACAGGGAGAAAGAGATTAGAATTGCACTTCTGAAATATCACTTTAGCAAGAGTATATAAGACAGATTAGAGGAGGACCACTACCTAAAGTCCTATTGCAATAAACAGTTCAAGTGAAAGATGATGAGGGCTTGAGCTAGGGAAGTGTCAACAGAGATAGAAAAGAAGAGCACAGATGAGGGATACTACTATTAGAAATCACGGCTAAAGAAAATATCAGCAAAATGAAAAGGGAGTCAACCATATGGGAAAATATATTTGACAATGGTATCTCAGACAAGGGTTTGAACTCCAAAATATATAAAGAACTCACACGACTCCACTCCAGGAAGACAAGCAATCCAATTAAAAAATGGGCAAAGAACCTGAGCAGACATCCTTTCATATGTCTCTTGGGCCCCTTGTATGTTCTACAAAGGGCCCAAGAGACATATGAAAGGATGGATGTTCAACATCACTAGTCATCAGAGAGATGCAAATTAAAACCATAATGAGATACCACTTCACACCAGTCAGAATGGCCGTCATAAATAAATCAACAAACAAGTGCTGGTGAGGCTGTGAGGCTGTGGAGAAAAAGGAATCCTTGTACACTGCTGGTGGGAATGTAGACTGGTGCAGCAACTGTGGAAAACAGTGTGGAATTTCCTCAAAAAATTAAAAATGAAACTGCTTTTTAACCCAGCAATTCCACTGCTGGGATTATATCCTAAGAATCCTGAAACATCAATTCAAAAGAACCTATGTACTCCAATGTTCATAACAGCACAATTTACAATAGCCAAGTACTGGAAGCAGCCTAAGTGCCCATCAGTAAATGAGTGAATCAAAAAAACTGTGGTACATTTACAAAATGTAATATTACACAGCAGAAAGAAAGAAGGAGCTCCTACCCTTCACAAAAGCATGGATGGAACTGCATTTTGCTAAATGCAATAAGCCAGGTGGTGAAAGACAAATTCCATATGATCTCACCTTTAAGTGGCACCTAATCAACAAAACAAATAAGCAAGCAAAATATAACCAGAGACATTGAAATAAAGAACAAATTGACAGTGACCAGGGGGGTGGGGGAAAGGGGGTAACAGGGGAAAGAAAGGAAAGGGTTGTCAAGGAACATGCATAAAGGACCCATGAACAAAGCCAATGGGGGCAGGGGAATAGGCAGGATTGATGGGGGGGTGGGTGTGGGTGGAGCAGGGGAGATTGGTGGTGGGGGAAAAATGGGGACAACTGTAGTTGAACAACAATAAAAATAAATAAATTAAATAAAATAAAATAGTCCTGGCTGGTGTGGCTCAGTGGATTGAGTCAGGCCTGTGAACCACAGGATGACCGGTTCAATTCCCAGACAGGGTGCATTCTTGGGTTGTGGACCAGGTCCCTAGCAGGGGCAACCTACTCGAGTGGCAACCACACATTGATGTTTCTATCCCTTTCTCCCTCCCCTCTTCTCTTTCTAAAAATAAATAAATAAAATCTTTAAAATTAAAAAATATATAATTAAATTAAAATTTAAGAATTTTAAAAATAAAATAAAAAAATGAAAAGAAATCTATAGTACTTATGACGAACTGGATCTGAGGAATACAAAGGAAGAAGGCACGTCTCTTAAGAAGAAAATTGGGTCAATTCACACTCAGTGATTGCACAAATCATATGTATTAGGAACTTTGTTAAGAGCTGGAGATACAATGTTCAACAAGACAAATACCGTCCCTGCCCTTAAGAATAATCTATTGAGTTAGTAACAAACCATTGAGTAATTTCAATAGAGAAGTACAATAATAAAGTGATAAGAGATGAAGGCACCAAAGGGAATTTTTAAAATATCACAAGATAGAAGTATTGATTTCATCCAGTGACACTAAGTAAAATGAGAAAATGAAAGGATTCTGCAGAATAGGCAATCAGAAAATTACTAAAGGCTTTTACCAGAATAGTTTAAATTGAGGAGTAGGTAAAAAGCCTGACTGAAGTATCAGTGATTACATTACCAAAAATTAGCAACATATGAAATAAATTGCTACTAAAATAAAATCATAAAAGTCTCTGCTTAACATACTGCCTCATGGGTCTTTCTCTATAATACTCCCTATACTGCCTTTTTTTTTACACAATTGTGTGTGTGCTTGCTATTATTCAGTTTTTCAAAGTTAAACACTTCATCGTTAGGATACATGCAGTGGTGATAATACTGTAAAGAAAAGGGAATGATCCAAAAAAGAGAATAGTGGTTACCTCTGGGTGTATGGGGTTCAGCTGATCATGGGCTTTGGAGATTCTAAGGTCCTAAAAAGTGTTCTACTTCTTGACCTGGGTTAGTGAGTAATTAGCTATTTATTACTATTTTTTAAACCACATATCCATTTTGGCCTTTTTTCTATATGAAATATATTTCATAAAGTATCTAATATATAGAAATCTGAGCCACTAAGATATAAATCAAGCTAAAACCTAGTTTTCAAAAAAATTGAGACTGAACTAGAACTAATAATTTAATAGTACCAGGTCTCACTTTACATGACATCTTATTATCAGAGTAAAAATCTCATATAACTCTATTTCTTAGGTAGCAAAAAGAAGATTCCAGTTCGTAAATATATTACTGAAAGGGGTTTTTTCCTAGATTTTAAATAATTTCAGTTCCAAAAGAAAATAGCCTTCAACTCTCAAGTCTATTTTTTACTCAAAAAAGTGTAGATTTTCCTAAAATGATTTTTAAATAACATAAGCTTAAAGTTGATCTGCTATGTGTAATCTTACATTTATCAAACTTCTGAATACACAAATGATATAGTTCTCATATCATTTTACTTTAAAAACACAGATACACAACACAAAACACACCTTATCATATAGCTCCCAAGACAATTTCTATTTTGACTATAAAAATTCTCTTTTTAAAAATAAATATTGCTTACCTGTTCCCTACTGAATCTTGAGAGATCTGAAAGTTGGGAATGATAGCAGAAACACCATATTCATCTTGATACTTCTTGCAAGACTTGTAATGATGTCTCATGCGATAGAATTTAATCTGTAAATTATTGATTAAAATGTAAAGTGACTAAAAAAAAATTTTATTTATATAGCTAGAGGAACAAAAAAGGCACAGAGAGGATGCTGGACAGTGCTGCTTTAAATCACTAGGCACAGAAAGGTCTATCCACATCTACAAGGTCAGCCCCCCAGTAGCCAGAAAGAGACACACAGTAAGTAAAGAAAGCACTGAACAGTCCAATTGTTGACAGCAAGAACAGTACCACGTGTTGGGCCAATGCAGTCACACCAGACCTTCGTTTAGCAACCTCACTATTTGAGTTCTGGCTAAGAAAGAATTCAAAGCCAAGACTTTAACTATAAAAAAAAATTTATTTAGAAAGTCACAGAGGTAGAAGAAGTGAGCTGTAGAAGAAATGGACTTAGGGAACAAGTTAGAGGCAAAAGAAGGGCCCTTGGAGCTTAGGATAGAGGCAAGGAAAAGGTGCCTAGGGGGGAAAGGTGTGGGCATGCTCCCTAGAGAGCTGCCGAAAGGTGACTTTTAATTCAACATAAAATTCACAAGACTTGAGATACTGTCAAAAAGAGAAAACAAGATAAAAATTGGTAACTAAATATTCCATTTAAACAAGAGATTCTTTTTAAGTAAGTGATTAATTCTTAATATGTTTCTGTCCAAAATGCACAGACGATGGAGAAGTCATATTTGTAAACTCACTGCAAAAAAATATTAAATAATTTTACACTTGAAACAATACTTGTACGAGAAATAAATGTACTACGAGGATTCATCATGCTACTAGGCTATTTAACTACTGCAACTTAGCAGAATTAGAAAGAACTTTAAAAAAACTACACTCCTTGGTTAACACTTGGAATATTTTTCAGTTTCTCACTGAAGAACAGAGCCAAAAATCTCTCAAGTATATTTTCCAGCTTTACTTCATTGCCCTGTCAGTTAAGACCTCCCTCAAAGAGATGGAAACACAGATCTGACTTGTATAAATGCATGAAATAGCAACTGGTTTTACTCACTGGTATTAGCTATTTGAAAAAGTAGCTGCAATAAATCCACAGACACATGTATATACTCAAAGCCTAACCACATTTCCCCATTTCAGTCCTCCAAATGAGAGAACAATAAAATCCAGATTGGAGAATTAATGCCAGTTATTTGTCAATACCTAATTTTCCCACTTGATCCTTAAAACTTAAGCAAAATATCTGATGATATTTTGTGATTTCTTGCATGAAACACATAAATACACAAGTAAAGTGGACAGCTAATTGATTTGCTGACTACAAAAATCCTTTTGGTTATTTCTATGTGCAAAATTGCAATGATGATACTACCATCAGAAAAACTAATGGTTGAATCTGTATCAAAATGGGGTTTAAATGAGTGGAATGCCAGTTTGCTCATTTCATTTAGTTCATAATATCTATGCTTAGTAGGTAATTAATAATTACTTTGAGGAAAAAAAGATCATGGTAAATGTTATCGTAAATTCAGAGATTATATCTTTCAGTCTCTGTTTTCAGTAAAGTTTCTAATCTATAGTCATAGCTTTTTTTTTTTTTTTTTTGGCATTTTCACCCCACTTATGAATCTAAATAACTTCTTTCTCTTCGAAGTGGTACCCACAAAGAATATTCAGACAGGAATTTCAGAGTAGATATTTGACTTTCAAGAACTATATCACATTTACTGTACCTGTTTTGCACAGCATCTGCAGCTACCAGACAACTTCCTCATGACATTTTCAAGGTCTAAGGCCCGTTCAGGACATGCTCTTTCTCTTCTAGTCACAGTTCCACGACAGAGGGGACAATGTATTCCACTTTCTCTCATTGCAGTCAGGAAACATTTTCTACAGAAACTAAACCAAACATTTGTGACATATTAACTACAGAAAAAAGCAGTCTTTTAATTGCTATGATTAAAAACAAACATGTGGTTTTGGATATGTACTCATGCTAAATGAGTTAGGCTATTCACATGTACATGAATCCTTGGAGAGGTGGGATACACTCCTTGGAGAAGGGAATGACAGGAGTTTCTGGAGTCCTGAATACACAGGTGTCCTTGGTTTGGGAAAAATTAATTAAGCTGGACATTTATGATGGGGCACTTTATTATTAGATACAATATACTTAAATGAAAAAATTTAATTAGTAAAAAACAAGGGTAATTGTGTTAAAACTGATATAAATAATAAATTAAGATTATCCTGTAACTGATATAAAATAATATTGAATATAAACTGTAATAAAAAATAAAACTTAGGAAAGATTATCATCTAACCAGGCTTAAAATGAAATTAAAAAATTTCTAGAATCCAGAGCAAAAATACGTTTTCAGGTGGAGAAAACTGAATGACCAATATAATGATTTTTCAAACACCACACCCACATGACTCACTGGAAATTTTTAATTAATGATTTTTAAAGTATATTTTATTGATTATGCTACTACAGTTGTCCCATTTTTTTCTTCCTCTTTATCCCCCTCAGCCCTGCAGTCCCACTCCCACCAGCATTTCCACCCCCCTTCGCTCACGTCCATGGGTCGTTCATATAATTTCTTTGGCTTCTCCATTTCCTACACTATTAACCTCCCCCTGTATATTTTGTATCAACTAATTATGCTTCTTATTCCCTGTACTTTCCCCCCACCCCCTGTTCTCCCCCTTTCCCTGCCATTCTGTTACTGTTTTTGTTTTTTTTAGGTTCAGTTGTTGATAGCTGTATTTGTTGACATTTCACTGTTTATAGTTTTGATCTTACTATTTTTCATAGATAAGTCCCTTTAACATTTCATATAATAACAGCTTGGTGATGATGAACTCCTTTCACTTGACCTTATTTGGGAAACACTTTATCTGCACTTCCATTCTAAATGATAGCTTTGCTGGATAGAGTAATCTTGGATGTAGGTCCTTGCCTTTCATGACTTTGAATTCTTCTTTCTAGTCCCTTCTGGCTTGAAAGGTTCCTTTTGAGAAATCAGCTGATAGTCTTATCGGAACTCCTTTGTAGGTAACTGTCTCCTTTTCTCTTGCTGCTTTTGAGATTCTCTCCTTACCTTTAGTCTTGGGTAATGTAATTATGATATGCCCCGGTGTGTGCTTCCCTGGGTCCAACTTCTTTGGGACTCTCTGAGCTTCCTGGACTTCCTGGAAGTCTATTTCCTTGGCCAGACTGGGGAGGTTGTCCTTCATTATTTTTTCAAATAAGTTTTCAATTTCTTGCTCTTCCTCTTCTCCTTCAGATGCTGGAACATTTAAAGTTGTCCCCAAGGTTCCTAAGCCTCTCCTCATTTCTTTTTGAATTCTTGTTTCTTCACTTTGTTCCGGTTAAATGTTTATTTCTCCATTCTGCTCCAAATCGTTGATTTGAATCCCTGTTTCCTTTCCTTCACTGTTGGTTCCCTGTATATTTTTCTTTATTTCACTTTGCATAGCCTTCACTTTTTCCTCTATTTTGTGACCTTACTCAACAATTTCTGTGAGCATGCTGATTGCCAGTGTTTTGAACTATGCATCTAATAAGTTGGCTATCTCCTTGTTGCCTAATTATTTTTCTGGAGTTTTGATCTGTTCTTTCATTTGGGCCATACTTCTTTGTCTCAGCACACCTTTACATTGTAAGGGGCAGAGCCTTAAGTATTCCCCAGGACTGGACAATCCACTTCACTGTGTTGTGTGGGGGAGGGGTCCGAGAGGGAATGATGCTGCTTGCTTGGCTCTCAGCTGGCTTTCAGTCACTTCCCCTGCTACCCACAAGGCAATTGGGCCCTTCTCATGCTGATTACTCAGTGGGTGGGTTTGTGTATGTTTTAGGACCAGTGGGTCCCTCCAACGGACTATCCTGTAAGACTGGGAGTTTCTTCTGCTGCCACAACTCCCATAGGATTTTACAGCCAGAGGTTTTCAGGCTTTCTTCTCCTGCACTGGAACCCTGGATTGCCCAATCTGACTCTTGTCAGATTGTTCCCCCAGTTGTTCCTCCCGGTTTATCTACATGTGAATGTGGGACCACCTGGTCCACCAGCCACCACCCTGACGCAAATCCTCTCAGCCCTAGCTGCCCATCTCTGCCCCTCTTACTAGTTTGGATAAATGTTTCTTTTTTAACTCCTTGGTTTTAACTCCATACAATTCAATTTTCTGGGAGTTCTAGTTGTTTTTAAATTGGTTATTGTCCTTCTTTTGGTTGTGTGAGGAAGCAAAGTGTATATACCTCCATCTTGGCCAAAAGTCCTAATTAATAATTTTTTTTCAACTTCTAATATCTCCCAGAGGAGAAATTAAAAAAAAAAAAAAAAAGAATAGATGACTTACTAAGAAAAATCAGATTAGCATCAAAATCACCAGCAATAACGAACAAATGACAAAACAATTAGAATGATATGTCAAAGTTCTGAGGGAAAATGATTTACAACCTAGAATTTCATCTTCTTGACACTAAATCATTTGCTTCATATATTTTAGGCATTTCTGATACAATGCAATATATGCAATACTGAAAACCTTTGCATTTTGCAAAAGTGCACACTAAAATTTATAGGGCTTCTGGGGAAAAAATTGATTGGAGTAGACTACCTGTCCAACCTTATCACCAGAGCACTAACAATAACCCAAACAATCCTAATAAAAATATTAACACATTTAAAAAGACATTTAAATTCCTAAAAAACACATGCCCCTGAAATTTTAGAAAGGGGTCAGAAGGAATGGCTGAAGCTGGTAAATTTTTTCTTTCTTTTTTTTTTTAGATTTCATTTATTTTTAGAGAGAGGGAAAGGAAGAAAGAAAGAGAGGGAGAGAAACATTCATCGGTTACCTCTCCCACACCTGGCCCACAACCCAGGCATGTGCCCCGACTAGAAATCAAACTGGTGACCTTTCAGTTCTCAGGCCGAAGCTCAACCCACTGAGGCACACCAGCCAGGGATGAAGCTAGTAAATTTTCGACAGCTTCTCCAAGAGAAAACTCATGGTCAAAATGAACAAAGAATGTGCGTCAGTGGTTTGTATAATAGTATATGATTCTGTGGCTTGTTATTCAGCTGAGTGTTAGTGTACTTTGCTTCACCTGCCATTTGCTAATAGCCCAAAAGCCGATGTGCAGGGGGGAATCACATACACACCAATCTTTTCTGATATTATCTGTTGCAGAACAACAGAGTGTATCATTGTTCAGTCTATACTTGTTTTTAACCTTGTTTGTGATCATTTGCTATGGAAAATTTTCTATTCTTAATGTAATCTAAATTCATCACTTTTCCCTAAAATTACAACTTGTGCTTTTGTAGTCTTAAGCCTTCTCCCTCTCAAATTCAGAGATATTCCCCTGCATGCACTAGAAGTAGTTTTATCTTTAATAGATATGATAGCACAAATCAATGGGGAAAAAATGGCTTGCTCAGTAAAACAATATTTGGTTCATGGCTTTGCATATGGAGTATCTACTGTATACTATATATAAAAAAAATTTTCCAGGTGGATTAAAAACTTAAATGTCATGAGCCAAACTTAAACTTTGAAGACAGAAATGCATCCTCCAGTATGTTCTACTGATCATTTATCTACTGCTGAATCAATATTATACCGTTTTAATAACTATAGCTTCATAATATGTCATCATCCCTGGTAGGGTTGGTCCTATGTTCTACTTTTTCTACATATTCTTAGTTATTCATGGTCATTAAAACTCATTATTAAAATTTTCTAATCAGTTTTTCAAGTTCTGCCAAAAGAATCATGTTGAGATTTTATTGTACTTGCATTAACATTTTAAAAATTATCTGGGAAAGAACTGGCATCTAAATTTTACTGAATCTCTCCATAAATACATCATGTCTCACCACTTACTCAGATCTGTTATGCTTTTTAATAAAGTTTTAAAATTTTCCCTATGAAAGTCTCATAATTTTTATTACATTTATTCTAATAAATATGTAAACACTATTGTTTTTATTGTTATTATAAATAGGGCTGTTCTTCTATTAATATGGTTGGTATAAAAAGTTAATGATTTTTATCTGTTGTTCTTGTATCCAGAAACTTCTCTGTACTATATTGGTTCTATGATTCTTGAAATGAGAAAATTACAGAACTAGAGAATACTAATGCTTGCCTAGGATTGAGGAGGAGTGGGATGGGATCAAAACGAAAGTGGGTGTGGTTATAAAAGGGCTGTGTAAGGAATCTTTGTGGTGATGGCAATGTTCTATATCTTTACCAATGTAGATATCCTGTTATATTTATAAGATGTTACCATTGGGGGAGGAAACTGGTTCAGGGGGCACAGGATTTACATATTATTTTTTACAACTACATGTAAAACTCCAATGATCTCAAAATAAAAAGTTTAACTTAAAGTTATTTTTAAAAGTGCAAAAATGATAAACCTATCCTACCAGATTTTTTTAAAGTACCTGTCTACATTTATAATGCATACTCACTTGATAAATATGTATTAAGTACTAACTACATAACAGGCACTAGGTTTATTGCAGGGAACAAAAGAAACAAAAATCCCTACCCTGCCCCTGCTCTGATGTGATTTACAGAATTGTATGCATGCAGGCACTTGTGGCAGTACGTGTGTATATGCTATTTCCCACCCCCAAAATTTAATGAATCATAATACTGTGCTAAAACTGCAAAAGGAATTAATGAAAGTGAAGAATCCCCCAAAAGTCAAATTATTTAAAGAATTCAAATATATAAAAGATTTGTAAAATAATGCAAAAAGAATACCCTCTAAACTGAATAAGAATGGCAAATTTAGATTCAAAGGCACACATCACATATTTCAGTAAATCCCAGAGATCCAAAAAAATGAACCATTTTTTAAAAAGATTTAACAAATA